TGCTGTGCTGTGCATTGGCGGGGTTATTGCTGTATAGACAAGGGTCGCTCTTCGCCATAGTATTTACGGTAAGTGCTACCACAACATGGTAGCACTAGTTAAGAGTACCTCTTCCACCACCATCTGGCACTTTCACATCATATCCTTAATTCCAAACCAATGTATTGACGAACCAACAGCTCATAGCTACCCAAGCTGGTATTTTAGAGAAGGTGAGGGCAGGAGCGACCGTCGCTCAGCTGAGTGGGTTCGAAGTACACTTGTCGAGCCATGACTTCAAGACTGATCAGCGAATAGGGACCTCTGACATGGTTAGTTGTTTGCCTTCGGCCTAAATTGGGATAAGCTGCAGCAGACTCATTCCTATGGTTGGCCAAATGATTACTACGTACTAAGGGTCTCTATCGATGCCACGAACTCCTCAGATCTCTCGAGGCACCCAGCCACTGGAGTTTCAAGCCAACGCTCCTGGTCGGCTCTCATCCAGCTATCCACGCAAAACGGATACCCAACAACTGCAGAACTATTTGACGGGTCTCTGGCCTGTTGGGAAAGATGAAATCGCCTCCCCCCCTCTCTTGATGCATCATCCATACCGCCTTCCAGCTGACTGAGGCTTTGATGCAGTCAAGCTGTGGGCGGCCGAGTCGGGTCCACGACTAGGCTGGCCGCTAATGCAGCAGCGGTTCGGGATGCAAATCAACCTCAGCCGAACACCTGAGCACCACCTATCATATGGAGTACAGGTGGCTGGCAGCTTTTGCTGCGGTCGATCGATTGGCCAAGGCAGACCTTCAGCTCGCCAAAAATTGCAGTGCTTCCTTTGGGTTCCTCCACTGATGCTTATAAGACTCCTTACCTCTGCCAACTCTCCGTGACCTACATTTACATGGTCCATCGAATACCCCGCCATCTTGCTGGAAGATTCACTTCATATCCATGTTTGAACAGTGATTCTGCAGCAAACTTATCCTTCGGGCACATTCCTGCAAATATTCACTGCCATAATTTGATTTGAAGACAACATGGGCTGGTTTCCGACGACGCTCGATTCCGAAGCACAGAGCTGGCGGTTTGATATCGTCTCCCTTTTGGCCATTATTGGAGGATCCTCTATTGAAAAGCATAAGCAGGCAATCACGGCGTCCCCATTTGCCGGGTTCCCACGTATCCTACCCGCCCCTGAATCACTGCTGGATACAGATCGGCCCAACCGACTCCCCTCTGTCAAGGAAGTCACCATCATTGGCGTCAAATCCGGTACGCACTTCACCGAACTCAATTTTTTCGCCAATGTGATCCACAAGCTCGAGGAGCTGGAGGAGTATGAGTTTCGGTCCTACAAGATTACATATCGGGAACCGGAGAAGGACACCATCAAAAGCGCAGCAGAGGTGGACGATGTCGAAAGTGGAGGAACGCAAAATGATGCCGAGCAAAAAAGCCAGCCGGATGACGACAAGAAAGAGGTCATCGTCCCGTTGAAGTCGCTCAGTGCGCTAAATCTAGTGACCTTGATTTCAATTCTAATGACCATCGGCCTCTTCATCTGGGCAGGTATGATCAACGACGGCGTGGCCCTCGTCGCCCTCGCCGCCATGTCATTGTCTACCAGCGCTGCCTGTCTATCTGCGCAATGGTATCCGAGGCTATCCACCCGTACGACCAAAACCAAGGTGATGAAGGGGGATATTGTCATGAAGACGCGTAATGGGGCTTTTATAGTGGTCGAATGCCCCGAAGAAATAACGAGAGAGCTGTACGGGGGAGCAGAAAGCTGTCGCTACGTGTTCAAGACTCGAGGCCACCAAGCACTTTTGGCTTGCAGCACGGTCCTTCTCATGGCGGCAATCATTCTCTTCAGTAACTGCGGATTGACGATGCAGATTGCCGTCGGCGTCGCATACATCATCCTGAATATCCTATACTTTGCCCTGGCCTTGCTGATGGATCCGGGGCAAATGTGGGACTTGAGCCGATATAAGGTGGAGGAAGGCAAGCCGAAAAAGACGAAGAACTACACTAGAGCCTTGTGGGAGGCGATTCAGAAGACCAAGGAGGTCGAATGGGTGCGAAAAGGAGGCCTGGCCCCATCGACCGATGCATGGGAAAAGTGGTTAGAGGAGGCCAAAGTCAACTGCGGCAAAAATGCCGCGTCCTGGGATCCTGAAAGGGCAAGAGACCGTCTGATGTCGGAGGCGTCTACCGAGGAGTCTGCTACGCCAATGGAGATACAGCCACGTGCCCCGCCACAAATGTCAGCTAGCAAGTGATGCTGGCCATGGGGGTTGTATGAATCTGCAGTGGGTGCAGATCGATACGGGTATTTTCATGATTTTTACCATGATGAATTATGAAGTGTTGGATATGAATGATTGACGTTATGACTAGACATGTCTGTTAGCGTTTGCGGATTCATCACTAGAGTTTTTCTCTCGATTACGACAAGCAGGTATACAGCATAGCGGCTAGACTGGGATATCTTCTACTACCTTGTTGCATTGGCGGGCTAGTTTCATGTTTAGATTTGACTAAGAACATACTACTACACTAATATCACTTTAGCGTTCATGTTATTCAAAGCAGTTGACTCATCGAAAAGTATATTATCACTGGTAATGCCAAGGAGCGTTCCATCTGTCTTTCACACATACATCTTCGCAGCGCAATCTCAAACTTACACACCCATATCACATTACTACTTTTGTTAGACCATGTCATCACTCTCAATGTCACCGAACGGAACTAAAAGCGAGACCTACGGGTAAACCATACCAAGCTTGCTAAATATAGTAAACCTTACTTAATTGATCAATTGAAGGAGGCTATATATCTCATACTGTAAGCACTCAAAAAGATACGGACCATATAGATATATTACGCAAGATACCCCAACAGCTACAATCTGATATTAGTCCCGTCGTCGATGATCATCCCTCCCCCAGACCTCATCCGCACTGGCCTTCCCCTTCGTCTCCGGAACACGCCAATAAATAAACCCACCAAGGAGACACGCCATGCCCGTAAAGACCCAAAAGATCTTACCACGTCCACCAAGAGCATCATTCAACATGGGAAAGAACTGCGCTACTACGAAAGTAGCGATCCAATTGGCAGCTAGGGCGCAGCTTTGCGTGGCGCCGACGGCTTCGGGGCCGACGAGCTCCGAGGCGAGGATGAATGGGACGGGGCCTAGGCCGACGGCGAAGCAGGAGACGAAGAGGAGGACGGCGATAGCGGAGAGGACCTTTTGGTTGAAGTAGATGGCTAGGGCTAGGAGCATGGAATTGAATCCCATGCCGGTGATGCTGAGGAGGAGGCAGGATCGACGGCCGATTTTGTCGGGGAGAGGGGAGCAGGCGAGGGTGATGATGAGGTTGATGGCGGAGATGATGACGGTGAGGAGGGCGGCGGTGGTGGGGAGGATGGTTTGTAAGAGGGAGACGCTGTACATGATGATGCTGTTGATGCCGGTGAATTGTTGGGAGACCATGACGCCGACGACGGCGATGATGGCTGGTCGGTAGGAGGGGTTAGTGATGGCATGGAAGATGGTGACGGGGGGTTGTTTGGGTGGCATGTTGCCGGATGGTGGCGTGAGGAGCGATTGCTCTTCGCCGGAGATGTCATCTGTTGGTCCTGCGGTTGAGGATGGCCATCCTTCGATTTCCTCTTCGATGTCTGCGTCCTTTCCGCGCAGCCGTTGCAGGACTTGTCTGGCTAGACTGCTCTTCTGGTGCTCGGCGAGCCAGGTGGGGCTTTCTGGGACTAGAGTGAGACCGAGGAGCTGGAGGGCTCCGATGAAGCCGGCAATGGCGAGGATGAATCGCCATTTGCTGCCCTCGCTTAGGAAGTATCCGAGGGACTGGGTTAATAGGATGCCGACGTTGGTCATGACCTGCGTGAAGGCACCAAAGAAACCTCTAGCGCTGGGTGGAGCGATTTCAGAAATGTAGATGGGGCCGACGACAATCGCAGCTCCTGCTCCAATGCCGGACAGCAGCCGGCCCAAGCTTAGAAGGGGAATGTTGGATGCGCATGTTTCAGCCACGGGCCCCAGGATGAAGAATAGAGTGGTTGCTCGCAGAGCAAAGAGGCGACCATGTTTGGTAGCAACTGGCCCCGCCAGCAGGGCTCCTAAGAGTCCACCAAGGGTGTAGATTGACGACACCAGGCCGAATTGCGAAGCGTTCATGGGGATACATTGTGGTAGAGAGAGTGCCTCGGTGGAAGAATGGATGCTCTTCCGCTCGCAGGTGATCACCGCCTGAGGGGCATTAAGTTCGGCCTGTCGAATAGTAAGTGTCAGTATGAGCCGGAGGGTTTGAGGTTGTAGTTGGGAAAAGGTAAAACTTACCAGGTGATAACCGAATTGGAGTGGTCCTAATGTTGTGATAAACACGAGGTAGATCAAGTATGGCGTGACCCGAGATCGGATCGGCTCTGGAGAGACCATGATTGTGGTTGGGACGTTGTTGAGTACGAGGGGTCTCAATCATCCACAGAGCTCTCGGTCAGTAAATGGGGGACAGATCTGCTGTTACCCGGTCATTGCACCTGGATGAATGGGAGGGAATAGCAGTCAGTCGGAGAGGAGCAGCGTGTTGATGACGTTGCGGATGGGCGTCTATAATCGGGACAAGGAAACTCCGCGTTATCGGGGGGAATCCAGGGGGAGGAGTCTTATCAACAGGAGGGAGTGCAGTGGATGGCTTGCAGATGGTGTATTTTGGAGAAATAAAGTACGAAGGACAGCAATGAATCATTGATATAGGTCAATTGTAGAAACACAAGCTAGACAGGGTTCAAATATCCTACAAAGTACAAATATTATCATATATTGTGTATTTGTTGATGGATGGATTGATAAATTGATTGATTGCTTGGGTGAGGAGGGGAGGGCTCAGAGTGATGAGTCAGCCACTTTCCCTCCGATGCAGCCTCACTCTTTCATTCATTCATTCACCCACTCACTCACTCTCTCCTTGGCGCCGGTTTTTGGCTTTTGGCTTTGCGGTGTTTCCCTCTTATTTGCCTTTTTGGCTTTAAGTCCTTCTTGTTTTTTTCCCACTCCTCTCGGCGCGTGTTGGTCCGTCTCAACTCACTGACCATCTTTCATCCTGCAGGCTTGCTGTTGGACCTTTTGTGCTTTCCCCATAGTGGTGGAGATCAGTGTCTCCGCGTATGGTTCCCGGACTCCATCGCAGCGTTGCAGTTTCCACGGATAGCCTAAAAGTACCCTCTTCTGACCTGACCACTTTCCCCTAACGAACTAATCATCATCTCTCCCTCCTCCCTCCTCGCTCTCTGATTCTGACTCCCTTTTCCGGTCGCCTCCACCTCGTCCATGAGTCTGACAAACCCGCCTTCCTCGTCCGGCCCGTTAAGTACGACTTCCAGGCCCGCTGCGGCCACCGTCAGCCAAAGTCTGTCGCTGAAGAAGAGCCTGCAGGCTGCTGTTGATGGTAATACCGGTTACTGTTACTCTGCCTCTGCTTAGCTTGACTTGACGCTTTTCCTGTCTTTCCCCTTCCGAGCACCCTCTTTTCGCCCGTGTTGCCACTTTTTATTTTCTTATTACTATTATTGATCGCTGTCTGAACCCGCTCCGTCACCATGTACTTTGGTTGAACCTTGCGCTGCTGTCAGATCTACTACTACTATTCTATCTTTCCTTATATAATCGTTAAATGCCCTTGAGCAGTCCCTGTCTCCACGCCTGTTAACGGCTGTTCTGTCTGTTCTTTTTCCATGATGTTTGGAAGGAGCTTCCCGTTCTATAATTCTCTCGGCGGGTTTTATCCACGTGGTAATGGCTTTCCCTCTCCAGACTAACCCGCCGTCTTTCGGCCGGTTATAGAGGCTGCAACAATCTCGCCTCATCCTCCTCATCCTCCTTTCCCCCATTAGCTCTCCCCTTTTCACCCCTATTCCTTTTGGTCTTTCGGACTTTTTTTCACTCCCCCTTGATCCTTGCTCGTGGAATTTAATTGGCTGTTGAATTCTTACGTTGATTGTGGACAAGTGCATAGTCTCCCTGCTGACACCTTGTATAAAGAGAGTCTAGATGCGAGGAAGCCTCCCGGCTCTGGTTACACCAGCAAAGTACGTGTGCGCGATAGATACCACATTGTGGGATTTATCAGTAGTGGTACTTATGGCCGTGTCTACAAGGCCATTGGCAAAAATGGCCAGAAGGGGGAATTCGCGATCAAAAAGTTGGCATCCCACTCCCGGCATATTGACTTCATCACATGACTTACCCGCTATAGGTTCAAGCCGGACAAAGAAGGCGAAATTATTCAGTATACCGGTCTTTCCCAATCGGCCATCCGAGAAATGGCCTTGTGCTCAGAATTGGACCATCCCAATGTAGTGCAGTTGGCAGAGATTATCCTGGAGGACAAGTGTATCTTCATGGTCTTTGAGTACACAGAGCATGATCTGCTCCAGATTATTCATCATCACACCCAACCGCAAAGGCATGCCATCCCGGCCTTGATGGTTAGATCGATCCTATTTCAGCTGCTCAATGGCTTACTGTATCTTCACACCAACTGGGTACTGCATCGGGACCTCAAACCAGCAAACATCTTGGTGACTTCAAGTGGTGCGATTCGCATTGGAGATTTGGGACTTGCCCGTCTCTTCTACAAACCTCTTAACTCTCTCTTTTCTGGAGACAAGGTTGTCGTCACCATCTGGTACCGTGCCCCTGAGCTCTTGATGGGTAGTCGGCACTACACCCCAGCTGTTGACTTATGGGCCGTCGGGTGCATTTTTGCGGAGCTGCTATCGCTCCGCCCCATTTTCAAAGGCGAGGAAGCCAAGATGGACAGTAAAAAGACGGTACCATTCCAGCGCAATCAGATGATGAAGATTATCGAGATTATGGGGCTCCCAACCAAGGAGATTTGGCCTGGCATCGTGTCCATGCCAGAATATTCGCAGCTGCAGTCATTGGCAATGTCGCGTGCCCCGGGGCATTTTAATCGATCGTCCAACCTAGAAGGCTGGTATCAGAGCTGCCTGAAGAACAACGGGTACTCCGCCAACTCGAGTGCTGGCACACCCGGGGCAGATGGTTTCGATCTGCTGTCACGCCTACTGGAATACGACCCGACCAAGAGGATCACCGCGCAAGAAGCTCTCGAGCATCCCTACTTCAAGAACGGGGGCCCTATATCCGCCAATTGCTTCGAAGGATTTGAGGGCAAGTATCCTCATCGTCGGGTGACGCAGGATGACAACGATATCCGCTCTGGTAGCCTACCTGGCACGAAACGCAGCGGATTGCCTGATGATAGTCTGTTGGGAAGGGCAACCAAGCGCTTGAAAGAGTGATGATTTTTTGTAAATGTATGCAGATTGTTTGGTTTTATAAGGCGTTTAGGGTGGGGTGGCATTTGTGCGGATTTCTAGATATGCATTTGGAACTGGCGTTTTTTCTTTTTTTATCTTGCAAATATGCTTATCTTCGTGCACAAAGCTAGAAATTAGGGAAACTCCGAACTAGCAAGCATGTATACAATGAAATGAGCCAACTTCAAATTTGTGACACGGTATCATATGTGTTCAATCTTGACATCTCCAGAATATGCCGATAATCTTTAAATTAAATGCAAATGACGCCCTCCCCAACCCATAGATAATAGTACCTTAATCCGATCCCAGTATCCTAACATCAACCAATCCCATACAAACCATAACAAAATCAATATCCTAGAGATAACCACCAAGTTAGTAAATCCACATCCAATCTCAAGGGGATAAAAGGACATATACATACCACTCTGCTCCCTCCGACCACCCCCTTCCCCACCACCCCCATCATCACCACCCCCACCACCCCCAGCAGCAGAAGACGCGGCATCCCGAATGGACTGCTCATCACCCCTCAACTTCTCAAAATAGGACTTGATATCCTCCGCACTAACCGCCTTACCCGTCTCCGCAAACGGCTTCAGAAACTCCTTGACCTTATCGCGCAGATGGTTGTACACCATTGCGCCCTCGATAGCGCGCACTCGGTCGATGTTGCTCAGTGCTGCTTCACCCCGGTCCAGAAGGCTGCCTGTGCCGGTGCTGCCTCCGCCGTTTGGACCCTCGCCGTCGCCGTCTTCGGACATGGGCGGTTCGTAGGTCTCCTCTTCTTCGCGCAGTTGAGGGTGCGATGCGAGGTGTGGGTAGCAGTCGCGGCAGCGGCAGAAGTGGTCGCGGAAGTCGTCTTTCAGGAAGAGGGAGAAGGTGCGGGTTGGGGGGGTTGTGGGGAGGTGGGTGTGTTTGGGTGGGGAGGGGTTGGTGGTGTCTTCGCTGGTGGTGGTAGGTTTTGAGTCGGTGGGTGTGGTGGTGGTTTTGTCGGTGTCTTGGGATGTGTCGGGTTTGGATTCAGTGGTAGGGGTGGTCGTGTCGCTGTTTTCGGGCTTGGGATCTTCTGTAGGCTCCTCTTTTGGTCGCTTCGGAGCAGGATCGCTTTCTTCGTCGGCGCTGTCGTCCGCTTTGCGTTTCTTGGGGTTGCTGGGTTGCTCTGGTTCTGTAGTCTGGTTGGCTTGTTCGGTGGTGGTGGGTTTGGTTTCCTCTTCTGAGGGTTTGGCGAGTCCGCCTTCTTTGTATACTGGGGGTAGGAAGCCTGGTGTTCCTGCGTAGCGCTTTACCCAGGGATTCGAGTCGACGCACTTGTAGCAGAGGAAGATCGCAAAGTCCTCTTCTGCGGGGAATCCGGGCGGAAGGGGAGTCTCTTCTTCCTCGTCATCGTCGGCTGCCTCTCCATCTTTCTTCGCAGCCTTGTACCAGTCGCGCGGCAGGCCAATCAGACATTCTGGGTGCCACCAGTCTTCACCACAACCACTGGTCTCTACTGTGCCCAGACCCAAACACTGGAACATCGTACCGCGTTCCTTATGCGGGTCATAGTCCTCGCCGCATCCGCAAAACTTGTTCTGGAAGTTGTGGTTGTATTTGTTGCCTTGGTGAGGTTGCTCTGAGTGCACGCCTTTCGTGCCGGTCTTGGGGTCGTTCCGAAGGGTGCATGGCGAGGTGGCGGGCATGCGGGTTGTTCCACAGTCGCAGACAAAGTTCCGCTTGTTGAAGAGCTCGACGAGATCGTGTTCGCCATGGCAGGAGATGGAGCATGAGTAGCACACGGCGGCGGGGGTATATGACTCTTCGGAGGTGGAGGGATTGCAGGTAAGGCAGGCGAAGAGAGATTGGCGAAGGGGTCCTAAGTCTTGTGTACAAGTATCGAATGACTTGTATAGATGTTAGTATGTTTTATAATTCTTCACTTTTCTCTCATCGATACGTAGGCAAGGTAAGCTTACATATGGGAGGACTTCACGCGCATCGGCTTCAAGTCGAATCTGCGATTCAATGAATCTATAGAGACATTAGTTGTCTGCGCAACAAATTTTGCGATGTATCCCCAGTGCATGCGCGTTGCAGGTCGATGAAGACTCACTCCTTCGCGGTCTGCGAGTTTTGAGAGCTGAAGCTCTCGCGGCGCCCTGCGGTAGTCTGTCCGTTCAGTGCCTGTCCGGCATTGAGGGCCGGGTCGCCCGACTCGGTGTTGGCCATGTTTATCGAATGTCCGTCACGCAATATAGAAATAATCACAAATCAAGGTTCCTATTCGAAGAACTTGATCGGGTTTTGAAGTCTGAAGGATCGGTGATGGTTGCGCATACGGAGGAGGCTGAGCGGCGGCGATGGGAACGCGCCGGCGCGCAACCGTAAAGTGTTTGCCGTGTTTGCACTTATGTGGTTGGTAATCTGCTCTAATTTCACCAGGTTGAGACTTCTAATTGATGGTCTGAAAGGTTTCTTTCAAAAGTATAATAAACTAATTGATGGGATTCTGTATCTAATATTTGTTGCAGGCTCTGGTGTTGATTGACGATGCTTTTAGTAGCTAAGTATAAGCGCAGTTGGATTCCTTCTCGCTCCTGCAGAACCACCCCGCTGTAGTCTGTACATACCTCGGTGACAATTTAACTAGACCATGAGGAGTAATTCCGATATGAACTATTCTGCATGACGTACCAAGAGCTCCATTTTCCCACTGCCCAGAAGTCGAGTGTATCCACGAAGCATCTTTTATTCCACTTTTCGTTGGGCACAGAGCGGGTCGCATTTCCGAATCGGGGTTTAATTGAAAACGGACGCGTCACTGGCGCGTCTCGGAGACGCGTTCGGCGCCAAGTCCAGGATCTTCTCAGCTTGTGGCCCTTCGAACTCCTGCGTTGCCCAACGGAAAAGAAAAAAAGACCCTCTGCACGGCTGTCTCTTCACCTTCCCTCAGTCTGCCCCTTCCACCTCCCCGCCTGTCAGACTGAACACCACACACAATGAGGTATGTAATGTCCTCGCCCATTGATTGTCAATGTTGCTTGGAACCACCTTGTTTGGTTGCCCCTCAAAACATTCGGAATACTAATAATGTCTTCCCAGTTCACCACTCCGTCCCAGCAATTCTGCTGCAAACCGCGGCCTAGGGAACCTGGGTCGTCGTAAGAGATCCAGAGAGCCCGATGATGAGACCTCATCGGTTGTTCCCCCCTCGAGTCGTAAGTCATGCTATGGTGGATGGCTGGTCCCTGATACTAACGCTGGCAATAGCCCCCCCTTCTTCCCCTCCCATGCTTCCTTTCGACGATGATGACAACGAGCGCGATGAGGAAGCAGAGCTCCTGGGTGACATTGATGATATCGACGAGATGGCTGAAGACGAGGACGGAATCGATCTGTTTGGAGACAACTTCGAGAAAGATTACCGAAGCACAGCAGACGACCAGTACAGAGGAGAATACATCGACGATGACGGCGACCATGAGGAACTTGATGTCGCTACTCGTCGTCAACTCGAAGCCCGCATGAACAAGAGAGATCGAGAACTCGAACGTCGCCGTCGCATGCCTGCAGCTTTCCTGCAGGACGATGAGGATGGTGACATAGATCTCACTCGTCAACCCCGTCGCCGGAGACACCACTACGATGAAGATCGGGACGACGTCGAGATGGGTGACGATGCCATGGAAGAGCTCTCCCTGGAGGAGTTGACTGATGTCAAGGCTTCTAACCTTACAGACTGGGTTCTGCAGCCGCAAGTCCTTCGCTCCATTTACAGAGAATTCAAATCCTTCTTGACAGAGTACACCGACCCTGCCGGTGCTTCGGTCTACGGAAACAAGATCAAGACCCTTGGTGAGGTGAACTCGGCATCCCTTGAAGTTTCCTACGCCCATCTACTGGAAACCAAAGCGGCTCTTGCATACTTCCTTGCCAACGAGCCCACTGAGGTGCTGAAGGTCTTCGACCAAGTCGCGCTTGATGTCACTCTCTTCCACTACCCTCAATATCACGATATCCACAACGAAATCCATGTCCGCATTACCGATCTCCCTGTCTCCTATACCCTCCGTCAACTGCGCCAGTCCCATCTCAACTGCCTTATCCGCGTCAGCGGTGTCGTTACTCGCCGTACCGGTGTCTTCCCGCAACTGAAATATGTCATGTTCGTTTGCGGAAAGTGTAACATCACTCTTGGACCCTTCCAACAGGAAGCCAGTGCGGAAGTCAAGATCTCGTACTGCCAGAACTGCCAGTCCAAGGGACCCTTCTCTGTGCACTCCGAGAAGACCGTTTACCGCAACTACCAGAAACTGACCCTCCAAGAATCTCCGGGCTCCGTCCCCGCCGGTCGTCTCCCCCGCCAGCGCGAGGTCGTCCTTCTCGCTGATCTCATCGATTCGGCCAAGCCCGGTGATGAAATCGAGGTGACGGGTATTTACCGGAACAGCTACGATGCGCAGCTCAACAACAAGAACGGCTTCCCTGTGTTCGCCACGATCATTGAGGCCAACCACGTTGTCAAGTCCCACGACCAGCTGGCTGGTTTCCACTTGACCGAAGAAGATGAGCGCGAGATCCGTACCCTGTCCAGGGACCCTGAGATTGTCGACAAGATCGTTCGCTCCGTTGCCCCTAGTATCTACGGCCACCTGGATGTCAAGACCGCCATCGCCCTCTCCCTCTTCGGTGGTGTCAGCAAAGAAGCCCAAGGCAAGATGTCCATTCGTGGAGATATCAACGTCCTGCTTCTGGGTGACCCTGGTACCGCCAAGTCCCAGTTCCTCAAGTACACCGAAAAGACTGCCCACAGAGCTGTCTTCGCTACCGGTCAAGGTGCCAGTGCCGTCGGTTTGACAGCCAGCGTCCGTCGCGATCCCCTCACCAGTGAATGGACTCTTGAAGGAGGAGCCCTCGTTCTGGCAGACCGCGGTACCTGCTTGATCGATGAGTTCGACAAGATGAACGACCAGGACCGTACCTCCATCCACGAAGCCATGGAACAACAGACCATCTCCATCTCCAAGGCCGGTATCGTGACCACCCTGCAGGCTCGCTGTGCTGTCGTTGCTGCGGCCAACCCCATCGGCGGCCGCTACAACAGCAGCGCACCCTTCTCCGAGAACGTCCAACTCACCGAACCCATTCTTTCGCGTTTCGACATTCTCTGCGTCGTCCGCGATCTTGTCGACCCAAGCGAGGATGAACGTCTCGCCAACTTCGTCATCGAGTCCCACCACCGCGCCAACCCCGCCCGTCCTCTCCGCGACCAAGACGGCAACCTGATTAACGCAGATGGACACCCCATTGACGAAGACGGCTACCGCATCGACAAGAAGACCAAACAACGCCTGCCCCTGACGGACGAGGAACTTGCTACTCGAGATGCCGAGAAGCAACGACGCGAGGATGAGAAGGACGGCGAAATCCCTCAAGAACTCCTCCGCAAATACATCCTCTACGCCCGTGAACGCTGCCACCCCAAGCTCTACCAGATCGACCAAGACAAGATTGCCCGTCTATTCGCCGACATGAGACGCGAATCTCTGGCCACCGGCGCCTACCCCATCACCGTATGTTCCCCTTCTTATTACTTTGAACCAATACCAGGAGACAAGAAAAGACTGACCAACAATCCATCAGGTCCGTCACCTCGAAGCCATCATGCGTATTGCTGAATCCTTCTGCAAGATGCGTCTCTCGGAATACTGTTCCGCACAGGACATCGACCGTGCCATCGCCGTCACCGTCGATTCCTTCATCGGTAGCCAGAAAATCAGCTGCAAGAAGGCTCTGTCCAGGGCGTTTGCCAAGTATGTACCCACCACTCATCAATGAAAGAATGCATACTAACAATCCCTCTAATAGATACACACTCTCCCGCCCCAAGCCCCAATCCAAGCGGAGAGCAGGCATCCCCGCCCCTGATCCATTCAAGCCGCGCATGCAGTCTTCTACTAGGGCGCGGTAAGGACAAAAATCTTACCAGCGTCTTGTTTATTCTTCGTACTTGGTTCCTGGTTTCGGTCATTAGGGGTTTTGCGTGGGATTTCGCTTTAACTGGCAGCATTATGAATATGGGTTGTTTGTGATCGTGATCATACGTATTATCACATATCACGTTTATGGGAGTTGAAGGTTGAAGGGTTCATTGGGGGGTTTTTTATATCTTTACTTTATTTTCCATCGTGATGTTAATCTTATGTGATCATGTGTGTCTGTGTGTGTGTGTGTATGTGTGGGAATGAATGAGTCTCAATAATTTCCCTTTGGTTGTTGTTGTTGGATTTGGATTGTTTATTCAACTTGCTGCTACAGTGCTAGCCAGCTAGCTAGCTCGGATATACCTAACTAACTGAATTAAGTATTTATGGACTAAATAATGGGGATTTCAAGACTGCTAATGTGTAATGCGAGATTATCAGTACGTACTACTACTACCGTGTTTACTTCCCAGCCGACTCAGCCACGAATGTAAAATCAGTATCATACAGCAGTTAGATAGATACCTTTTTCTTTTCTTTTCTTTTTTTTTTTTTTTTTTCACAGATCAACATATCTCAGGCCATTGTTATTATACTACTTCGTAGGTAAGGTACTGGACTCCTAAGTTCATGAAATCGTTCGTGTATTAGACCTTAGTATATGAGTAGTAGTAGTAGTATTTTCTAAAAAGGTCTTGTAGAATTGTACTCATCATTACAACAATTATCAAACCAAAAGAAAACTTGCCGGTGATATTATTTAGTAATTTTGGTGTTTACTAAGTCTATCTTTCATCTCAGCTTCCAGAGTCTTCGGGTGGTGACGTTGTAATCATCTGAGAAAGGTGTCTTTTTGTGTGGCATTACATTATGAGTGCCATTGTCGACCTGGGCGGGATGCCGAGTCGGTTGGGTAATGTGCGAAGTTGTAAATGAGTGGATGAACTCCATTATGGCTACGGTGATATATAGACCCAAGAGGGCCGGCCAGTACAAGCATGGTAAGATATGTATTCAGCTGAAAGACACATTGCCTTCAAACAGCCCTAGTAGCAAACAAGAGAAGCACGAAACAGCAAAGCCCAGCCGGTCCCAACACAGGTCCGAATTCCCATGCATACAAGAGTAAATGCTCACTCAACGCCTTGTCCCTTCGCGTCCCGTACACCGTGTGGTTTACCAGTAAAAGAAACACCAACCACCCCTGTCACCGCCACGCCAACCCAATTGCATTGGAGTCGAGTACGCCGCTTTAGAGCGCGCTTAAACAGTCGCTCTTCATGAGCCTTGAGCAATGCGTCGGAAATCCCAAGGTAACGCTGCAGACGATA